AAATATTGCTATTGGATCACATTATCATCTGTCAATTGGTCCAGAGTCAAAATATCTCCACTTCCATCCAATTTTTTTCTATATTACATCTTTTCCCCCAATTTTTAAAGTTGGGTTTCCCCATAAAATCAATTTAGCATGAGGAAAAGGGTATTTTTTATTAGATATTACATTCTATAACTTTCTGATGTATTTCTTTCCAGAGATGCTAGAGTTCTTAGTATCTAGACCCCAATATTGCCCATCCAACCAAGTGTTGTGTCATCCTTATAATTATTTCCTTTGCTTTAACTAACTTCCAACTGTTGTCTCATTGCAGCAAATTGAAGAGTTTTCTGATGTTAATGAAGGAGAAAAAGAAGTCATGAAATTATGGAATCTACATGTTATGAAACATGGGTATGTGTTCTATTTTTAATCTAAAATGGGCAAGAACAACAGAAATATGGCTGAAAATTATTCAGATTTTCCATTCAAATTTTAAAAAATATTAAATATTTTGCTGTCCTTAATGTACTGAGAATTTTTAAAATTTTAAAAAGTTGGAAATTGTGGCAATATGGGCAAGAATGGTATTTCTAAGCAAGATTCTTTTAAAACTTGCATCTTTTGAGAATTCCGAGCAATCAGTCCAAATTTTGTTTTTTCAGCAGTGACTGTGAGCCCAACTAAATAGTAATAATTTGTTTTATTTTTTAATGTTAACAGATTTATTGCTGACAATCAAATGAATCATGCCTGTATGCTGTTTGTAGAAAATTATGGACACAAAATTATTAAGAAGAACTTGTGTCGGAATTTTATGCTTCATCTAGTCAGCATGCACGACTTTAATCTTATAAGCATTATGTCAATAGACAAAGCCGTTACTAAGCTCCGAGAAATGCAACAGAAATTAGAAAAAGGAGAGTCCATTACAGCCACATCATCTGAGGAGTTTACAGAAGAACAGACGGGTGCAACTAATGGCTATAGCGATGCTAATTCTAGGGAACGGTCTTCAGAAATAGATAATACATCTTGTATGACAAAACAGAATAGAAAACAGAAGATCTGAAAAGACCAGCCGACAAAAAAAATGAAGTGATATTCTAAGATGCATGAACTCTATAAGGAATTTAATAAGATACACAGATTTTTAACAGGCACTGCTGGAAACAAAGGATTTCATCACAGATAGTGTTGATATGGTTCCTATTGAAATAATTACGCAAGTGCAACATGTATATCAGTTCTAGTGATGTAATGACAATACTCAAAGTTTGAGCATGAAGAGCAATACAATTTTTGGAAATTTTAATTATGAGATGTACTGAATTTACATAACTTAAGTATATGTAAACCAGTTTTTATATAAAGATTTTTGCATCAGTAATGGTTGACTTTCCTACCACGGAGTTAAAAATGAGAAGAGATCGGAACAGTTTATAATTTGTACTTAAAAATTCTGTTTCCTTTTTGTAGAAAATAATGTATCATTTAAATTTGATCCTTTGTTTTTATTCTATCAAATTAGAAGACTGCAGTTTTTAAATACATTTTTAAACATTCAAGTGTAATATTGCACTTCTATAATGTCCATTTAGGGGGAAAATTGCTTTATCTATTGCAAACACAGGGATATACTATATTAATTGTGCCAGTAGCCTAAAAGAATTTGTTGATATCATCTGGTATATGAGATCAGACTGTTTAGGGTGGATGAAGATGACGATATGCTGCTTTAACACCTTCAGGTGATGGTGGGCATTTCTGCCTATATTTGCATGTATACAGACTGCAGAATCAAAGCACAGTTAACCTGGGACTTTTAGATGCTACTTTTAAGGGGGAAAATACACTGTAAAATTGGTCCAGAAAATGTGTTGCACTTCTTTTGCAAGTATTCTGTGATGTATTGCATTCAATACAGATGCTAACTAAAAATCTGGTGCAGTCTTGCACTGCTCTTAACACATTAAAGCATATGTTTACAGATTTTCTTTTTTTCCAATGGAAAGTAGCTTCACTACTGGTACAGTATCAGCACCAAGGGTTTGTTCCAGCAAGCACTGTGGTTGAGTGACATCACCTCATTTTTTTAAAAAAAATTCTTAAATAGTTCATTTTTCATATTCCTTATTTATAAAGGATCAGTTATGTAAATACAATTTACATTTGTTTTTATTTCATTCCATCATCGTAAGGAGGCAGTTCCCTGTTTTGAATTTTGGCTTTGGAATGGGTGGGGAAGAAGCTTCCTAATGGAGATTTTCAAAACTTTATAAAAACTGTAAATACTGACTTTGGTCCCTAAAGGTGTGTTTAACTGTGAGACTATTTAACTAATGGTGTGGATGTGATTTGTCATCCAGTATTAAGTTCTTAGTCACAGATTTGTGTCAATAGCAAAGAGGGAGACTACAGTTTTCATTAGATGTCTTTTGTCTGCTCTGAGTTGTAGCAAACTCTAATTACACCTTTGAATAGCCGGCAAGCATTTCTCTTGGGCTTTAATTTGCTAAAGCTGTGCACATATGTAAAGAAATATTTTAGGAGAGACATAGATGTAGAGTTATTGCTTATGTCACTTAAGCAGTCGCGCTCTCAATGCTTAAAAGGAGGCTAGCATTCTTTGCACAAAAAGTTGATGACCCCCAAAAATAGTAATCAAATTACTTCTGTCAAGTAAACTTTGTATGTCATGTCCATTTATAATAAAAGCTGAGAATCCCTTTGTTTCTATTTATAATAAAGATGGATTTTCTATATGTACTCTTAATGAGACTTTGAAGAAATCATGTAAACTGGATGAACATTTGAATGGTACAGTAGATAAAGACAATTGTTAATGAACCTTTTGTTTTTACATTAAATGTTTATTTGAAATTGAATTTTGTACATAAAGTTCAATATGTAAAATCTGCCAATGTGTCATGTTGAATCTTTTCATATATATGCCAAAGTGAATTCAGAACCAGGCAAATTTAGTTGGGGGGGGGGGGCGCAGTATTTGCATTTGGACTAATTATGATCTGTGATAGAACTTGAAATGGATGGGCTTTTTCTGCCTGCCTGCATTCTGAATATAATACTTTTTTAAAAGCCCCCCCCCCCTTTTTAAAAGACTTGTAGTTAAAATAAGTGTAATCAAGATAAAACATACCAGTAGTATCTCAAAGATAAAGTCTGATGCCATGATTGTCCGTGAAGGAATCAGAAATGATCAACGTTCAGATAGGTAACAAAGATTTTTTTTCTTTTCCTGTCTACATCAGTAAAACACAAAAGCAAAATTATTTTTTGCAACATTAACATCAAGTAGAAATGTTTTGGAAAATTAAGATGGTAAAAACATACTTCCAAATGTATGTCTCTGATCTACCCAAATTCAACCAGGGCCATAAGTGCAGCCTTTCTGAAATCGGAGTAATAGGTAGTCTTCAATTTAGGGCACAACAGCATTGTGCCTCCCTTGCTAAGCGATGCAGTCATTGAATCACTTTTTTTGACATTTTTTTTACCAAGATCATTAAGTGAATCCAGCTTCCTCCATTGACTTTGTCAGGGGTCCCTGGGAAGATTCAAATGGCAATCATGTGACTGGGTCACTGCAACCTTTGTGTATGTGTGTGTGTATATACCAATATATATATTGGTTGACAAATGCCCAAATTTTGATCAGGTGACCATAGGGACACTGCAGTAATTTTAAATGTGAGGACTGTCACAAGTCACTTTTTTTCCAGCACCATTTTACTTTTGAACAGTTGTTAAATGGTTTTAAGTCAAGGACCACCTGTTTTGCAATTTTTTCTAATGGGAATTCAGCAAATGGTTCTAGCACTTTAGTTCAGCTGCTATTAGTAATGTGCTGAATTCAAAGCATAAAATGTAATTGCTTACAAACTTCTTGATATTGGTCTGCTACATAGAGATAATGCCCTTTCATCATTTACCTATTAAGTTGTTCATAGTGAAAATCAATTGCAGTGATAATGTTGGCAGGAGCTGGAGTGAGGATGGGAGCTCATCCCCATTGTGTGGTGCTCAGGTCTTGAACTTGAGCTGCCGGCTTTCCAGCCGACAAGATCAGCATCTTAACCGCTGAACCACCACACTGCCCTACTTTAAGGAGGGGTGATCAGCTATTTCCAAGAGCAATTTTTCTGTCTTAGATATAAATTGGCAGATATAGGTATACCTCTGTTCATACATTTACTAAACTCTTTATGTTCCGTTATGAGCTGATGCAATTCAGCACAAAGTTTCTGGGGAATAAAACTGCTAAACCCTCAAGGCATATTCTGTGTATTGTTACTCTGATATCTTGTTTTGGTACTAAAGGTAATGAACATTTTCAAAACTGAGCTAAGTTACTTTCCAAAAGCAACTTCTTCAGTATTCAAACTTTGAATAAAATAAGTAAATAATTCTGATTTAAATTTCTTTGCTATTTTTAAACTTTTAGTAGGATGTCTACCTAGCTTCCATTGAAAGCAAGACTAATAGTTTTGAAAAATGGCTCCTAATTTTCTGTACCTGAAGTTTCAATCGGACACTTTCAAAGAATATGGGTCCTAGTATAACAGAAACAAAAGGCTCATTTTTTTCTGTTGCTGTAATTACCAAAAATGTTAAAAACATCGCTGATTTACTCTGTATCCCATCTTACAACTTTTGAATCTCGCCTCTATTCATGTGTACAACTACTTGAAAATTCCTGGATATGAGGGCAATGACACCATCACTACTTCTAAAGGAATGTAGGCTTTCGAAAATAAATTTAGAACCAAATTTTCTTGCAAAAAAACCCTCCTTTCCTTAGCTTTCTACAGCATAATTTTAAGCAACTGTTTTGCCTTCATCTCCTGATATATCTCTGAAGATCAACAGAGAAAAGACCCAAAGGTCTTTTTTATTTTAAAAGCAGCTGTTGCCTTTAAAATAAAAGCACCTCTGGAGCGACCATGACCTGGATGAATGAGAACATTCAGAGAAAAGATTTCACCACAACTGGATAGGGTACAATAAAATCAAATCTTTATTAAAAAGTCATGATACAAAGTATCTTGAGGTAAATACATACAAGTGCATACAAAACATAATTGCATGCTAACTTTGCCTCCAAGTATTGCCACCTCATATGAATACTGTCTGAACAAAGAATCCAATTTTTCAGAATTCTTATGGCTCTAAAATACTGATTCGATTTCTTTTGAACATTTTTGCTGCTCGTATCAAGTTCAAGGTAGCTTTCCTGTTTCATAGCTTTTTTTTTTCTCAAAACCAGCCTTTACCCTCTCAAGAGATAAAATCTATTTCCTCTTTCTCTTCCATCTCCAGCTGCAGAAAGTCAGCCTTTGCTGGGGGAACAAATTTCTATTGCTATAGCAAAAAAGCTTTTACAAAAGTTTAAGAAATGGGAAAAAAATTCCTTATTAGCTCAGCATCTACATGCCTTCCTCATACAAGACAGAGGTCTGTGGTATATTCAAAAATGAAGATCTTACTCTATCCAAGGAAAGGATAAGAACTATGACCCAGACATCTGGATAGTATCCAGCTGTTTTAAATTTTGATTTACATTTTTTTGTCTTCTAAAAGTAGAACATTTGGATTATGTCCTCCATTCCATCTGTCACTAGATGTAAAAAAAAAGTTACTTATTTTAGAACATTGTAAAGGCATTTTGTATGGTATACAGTACATGAGATTGCAAATGTCCTGTGGCAATCTTTCAAGAAGAGGAAACTGCATACATACGTGTCTGAATACCTTTGCAAATCCCGATTTATGTGTAGCATTCTAAAACTTCCAACCTACCATCATATAATGAACATACAAAGCTAAAGGTGAACTAAAGTATCTCATTCTTTTTTGGGGGGAGGAGGGTAGTTTTGTTTTATGCTCAGATAAATTTTCACAGAGATCAATAATAAGAGAGAAAAAGTATATGGATGATCTGGTTTGCATTTGACGTTCCTAAAAAACGAACGTTAATACATTAATATTCTTTCCCAGTCTATATTCTCATGAACATAAGGCAAGGTGGTGATTTATCTGAGTACAAGAGAAGAATTTTGGTATGGCTTGATTTTAAACTGGGGAAGGGCAGAGGTAGGATTCTAACATCTTTAAATCCCAGCTTCTTACAGGATATCTTGAGATGGGGAGGAGGTGCTAACCATTTTTATTTAGATTCTGCTCCAGAGTATTCCGTTAGCCTTCCCCAAAATTCTGCCTCCAGATATATTGGGACTTCAACCCCATAATTTTAATAACCAACAGGAAATGAAGTGAAATATATCTAGAAAACATCAGATTGCAATAGACAAGATAAGGTTACATATTCCTTGTGTTACATATTCCTGAACCAAAAGACCTACTACCCATTAATCAGATATTAATGCGACAACTTTTACTTAGTGCTGAAACCGGAGTAACTCCTAGCTGGGAATCCCATCATATAAGAAGGGAAGGGAGGAATTTTGCTCTTCTTTTTATCAACAGTTTTTTTCTTTGCTTACTTATCAGATGGGGTACCAGCTAAGGACTGCAGCCTGGGATCGAAGACTTAAAGTTTAAGAAAGAAACTAGTTGCCAATCTTACTTAATGGGATACCCTTATTGCAAGAAAACAGCTGCCAAAACAGGGTTCCCCCATTTTGGGAGATGGGCATGCCAGCAATTTAATCATACAAAGGAGATCCCAAAAAGAGGGAATTCACTTGCCCATGTCAAAACAGCAAAATGGTGATTAACTGCAGAGGCTGAGAGCAAGAATGCTTTAGCTGTTAGTCTCTGCTTAAAGTTAGTACCTGGCTCGTCTGCTAACTTGGTTACGTCAACCAAAGTCTAAAAAGCATGATAAGAGAGCTCTACAATGTGTTCTTTTCTATATGGTACCTCCTCGTTTGCAAGTTGGCTTGCATACCGTTGGCCTGACCCCCATTTCTATAAAATTTATCTGAACGCAAGTCTAGGTAAAGACAGGTGCGGCAAACATAACTTACTTGCTACACAAAACTCTAGGCTCCGTACAAGTTGTTCAGGAAAGGTCTAAAACATCTGCGCCTTAAATATTTCCTGGGACTGTGTTGATATCATCTTGAAAAAGGCACAAGCTATAGAAAGCACTGCAATGAGCACAGAGGAGCGGGGAAAATGCCGCTTAAGTGACAAATGCCATGAATGAAATTTTCTCTTTCACGTGTGCAATATTGTTCAACAGGAGCATCAAACTAAGGCACGTCGGTATCATACGCTCGCCAAAAAAAAAAAAAAAAAATGTTTCGGCTCAGATTTCTTCTGCAGTAAATAGCAAGGCACTGAAGGAAAAGGATAATGTAGAGGCCAAAAGTTCTTATTGCCCAGTGGACAGAAAGCTTTTGGCAAGAGCAGGTTGAGGTACAGCATTTCAGTACCGAACTCTGATGAATAGGAAAACATACATAGAGTTTTGGTCCATTAACCCTGAGCCAAAGAATAACACTAGGAAAACTTAGTAAAGCATAACCAAGCATTGATAGCAGGACCACAGTAACAGAATCATCTCTATCTTTTTCTTCCAAGACCACACTCTCTCTTGGTGATCTCCAGAGATGGACTACAACTCCTATAATCCCCCTTTCACTAAGTCCTTGACTAGGGATTGTGGAAGATCATGTCCAGGCCCTCTGGAGAACATCCAAACGGAGAGAGCTGTTCTAAAAAAAAAAAAAAAAAAAAAAGAATACTCAAAATGCATGATGTCGATAGCAAACACAACAGCTTACATAACTTTTCCAGGTTACTCAGCGTTTCACCAAAATTTCAGGTGAATCCAGTAGAGAAGACAGAGTTCAAGTAAAGTTTATCTCTCAGAAAAGTGGCATCAAGCAGCTCACTGAACCAAGAGCAGTATACCAAAGACACACAGATCTAACAGCCTGGATGAGCAAATAATTGTGTCATTGGAGTCCAAACCCTTTGAATGACACCACCGAAAGACAACTACTACTTCTCAGTCTAAGAGTTAGAATACCAAAACTTTCCAGCCGGGATAGGAGAAGGAGCATCCGAAATACAGAGAGCCACAGCATTCATCAAGTACCCAGTCAAAGACCACTTCCCTGTTGTTGGAACTAATTGTCACTCTGAGTTTGAAGTTCCCCCCATTATTATTATTGCAAGGGCCTAAATTCACAGTTTCCATGTCGAAGGTTACAGCTGACCCTGAAGTCACTGCAGGCAACTGGTTGGTCATCTCTTTTCCATTGACAAAAACAGCTCCTGTAATAGATAAGAAATGCTGGTGAGCCAACCCTGTCACATAACAGAGTTTTCAATTTCCCATGGAAATCAAGTAACTTCTGAGCTTTCAGAATTCACCCTTCTGTAATGACTTGCAACACACTTCATGGACACCTTGTTAAATTACATTCTTGTCACTAAAGACAGTAAGTTGGCTTGCTTGCAAAACAAAAGTGGTATTCCAATTTCATTATTCCCAAATATGCCTCTTCTCTTTCATATCCAACTCCCCAAATCAAAAGTGAATGGTGGAAACCATCCCGGGGAACTAAATACAGTAGCAGAACATTCTCATTAGTTGGTCTCCTGACCAATACAGTTATTAATAGTTAAACCTCCCAAGAAATAATAATAATTAAGTAATAATTTTAATTAGCAATTTTATGATGTTTGTGTGTCTATATTTTTCTTGACTGTACACCGCCTTGAGTCCTACGGGAGAAAGGCGGTATAGAAATATAATAAATAAATAAATAAATAAATAAATAAGAAAGACCATTTTATAAGAGTGCCATTGCCCCCAAAATAGTTAGGACAGTGGTGGGATTCAGCCAGTTCGCACCACTTTGGGAGAACCAGTTGTTAACTTTCTGAACAGTTTGGTGAACTGGTTGTTGGAAGAAATCATTAGGGCAGAGAACCCTAAGGTTGTTAAAATTATTTGAATCCCACCACTGGTTAGGACTCCCACACTATTCCACATAGTGTCTGACACACACATCAGTAGTACTCATTTACCATACTGGCAGCAAGAAAAGAGGAAAAATTATTTTCTCAGTTCACAATTCTTATTTACAAGTGGTATGGCAAATCTTAAAAAATATTGTTGTAAAGGGTTGCCTAATTGTTTGGGGTCAAGGGCTACATTCTCCGTACAGAAGCTTAATGACATAAAACTTAGGATTTACTGATCTTCATGTATTTATAATTTTCGCCCTGCCAAATGAAAAGGAGGGTGTATTATGATGATGTTAAGAGGAAACCAGGCCATCAAAGAACCCGAAGGCTGGACACCATCAAAGCTGACACCAGCCAGAGCATAGAATAACTCCCAATAAATAGTGCAAGGTCGGAAGATATGGAAATACTTGCGAAGAGTCAGACATGACTGAATGGATAACATCGTCGTCATCATTATGATAAGTATTGATGGGGTTAGTCGTGTAGTCGTTTTGAAAATTAGAAGCCTGCTAGGACAATGGACATCTATGTCTTGACATGCCTCTTCCCCAAGATGCTGCTTTTTTGCACTCTTTCCTTGGCAATCTTGGGAAAACACCACGTTTATTATTTCCCATCACCTATTTAGGATTCCTCCATATCATAATACAGTCATTCTATATAAAGTAGGTCTTAAAACAACAATACATCAGGACACCGTGGAGATTACAGGTCAGAAGGTTGGCCAAATCAGATCTTTTTGCAACTCACCATTGGTACTAATGCACACAGCTCTATCCCGTTGCAAAGAATCATAGCCATTCAGCTGCTCAACACAAACTCCAATACTATCTTTCCTGTCTGGCTGGCCAACTGTTTCAATTCTGTGAAGAGAAAGGAGGAGGAAAAAGCAGCTATATTTAGAAAAAATGTTAATATAAACCACGTCCTTGATTTAATGCACCCTCCTTTAAATCTCAAGAGTCTAGGAATCTGCAAATTCAGCTCTCTCCCATCTGGTGTTCCTCACATATACTGAAATCCAAATCCTACCATCCCAACATATGTCGGTATTCAACGCTCACAACAGTTACCAGCTTTGGGAAAGCTACTCTAGTAGATGAGATAGTTTCAATTTGCCTCAATTCATCTTTCTTAAAGATGGAAAATTTCTAGGATTGGGAAAACCAACCACCCTCATGTTTTGCATAAGGGAAGGCCTTCATTGGAACAATAGCCTCTTTAGCTAAAATGGTACAATAGCAAATGATAATGAAAATCTCTGCCGGTTATGTTGGAGAACCATGCCTGATGCTCTGAACAATATAGCTAGATGAACGTTCTAACCTATTATGTAGCTATTTGCCATACAGTTACTTCTTCCTACCATATTGGGAGAAGTAACATTCTGCCTGCCAGCATTAATGAATAAGATGTTTGCTACAGGGGTGAAATCCAGCAGGTTCTGGCAGGTTCTGGAGAACCAGTAGTAGAAATGTTGAGTAGTTCAGAGAACCGGCAAATAACACCTCTGGCTGGCTCAAGAGTGTGGTGGGAATGGAGATTTTACAGTATCCTTCCCCTGGAGTGGGGAGGGAATGGAGATTTTGCAGTATCCTTCCCCTGCCACACCCACCAAACCACGCCCACAGAACCGGTAGTAAAAAAAAATTGAATTTCACCACTGGTTTGCTATCATGTCACAGTTTGTTGCTTTTCCTTCTCAATAGAACTAATTATTTATCTTTAAACCATTCCTTTGGGAAATTGTTCTGTTTTCTCTACAGGGTACCACTTTCAGACTAAACACTCCTCCATTTATTTATTTATGAACAGATGTCCCACTTTTTCATTATTTAAACAAGCTCAAAGTAGCTTTCATTAGCAACCAAATAAGCATTTATTGTCAGAATCTCCGGAACAGATAATGTGTTCAAATGCTATATTAATAATGGTAGCAGTCAGAAGTACCATATTGTGCAGAAACCTGCTATGTGAGAAGAAATTTCAAACAATCTGATGGCATGGCATGGCCTGAACAGCAACACCTGAACACAAGGGAAATAAAAGTTATCTTCCAAGTTTCATTTAACCATTTGGAATCTATGGTTATGACTTTGAGGAAACCCTGAGACATAGTCCTTGATTTATGGTCACAACTGAGCCCAAAATTTCTACTGCTGAGCAAGAGAGTTGTTAAGTGAGTTTTGCCCCATTTTACGATCTTTCTTGCCACCGTTGTTAAGTGAATCACTGCACCGTTGTTAAGTTAGTAACATGGTTGTTTAGTGAATTTGGCTTCCCCATTGACTTTGCTTATCAGAAGGTTGCAAAAGGTGATCACATAACCCCGGGACTCTGCAACCGTCATAAATACATGTCAGTTACCTAGCATCCAAATTTTGATCACATGACTTTAAGGACACCTTAAATGACTTCATGTGTGAAAAACAGTCATAAGTGGCACTGTAACTTCAAATGGTCACTAAATGAATTGTTGTAAGTCAAGGACTACCTGTATTAAGTAGCAATCATAAAATGTGAGATAATCCTGTTTGCTAAGAAAAGGAAGTAAAATGGAAAAAGGAGCAAGAGCTAGAAATTTATTCCCTCTTTTTCAAGTTACAAAGTAATGTCCCTGTAGGAGATAAGAACCGAAAAGTAATGAACCTTTAAGTGGCCTGCTTCTTCTGGCCAATATATTTGTACAAGGGTAGGAAGATTAAAATATTTTAATCTCCCCAGATTAAAATATTCTTTATTCTTAATATTTAAGAGGCAGGATAGAATATTTCCCCTAAAGGAGAAGAGGAGAAAAATCTTAACAAAGGCAGAAAGCAGCCCCAGCCTTCCTGCCATAGGAAAACAGCCTCAAGCAGAAGAGGTTAATCTTTAGGAATTGAGATTTTGTATCCATTCAGAAAGACTCGGCCAATCTGTTGATAAGCAACAAGACTCCAAATAAGCAACACAATTAGGCAAGCCAAAGTAGACAAGATTAGCTCAGACGAACACCTAGGATTTGCATTTCCCCTTTTGCCTGTAGAGCCAGCCATGACCCCTACATGACCCCACAGGAATCTGGCAACAGCCATTAAAATACTGAAGGTTATCTTCTTGCACAGGAACAAGCATCTCAATCAGAAGGCCCCAAAGAATGTACCTACTCTCAAGCACATTTTGTCAGCCACCCCAGAAACATGCTGCTGTCACTGAAGTTTCTGGCTACCAAATAAACAAACACCTTTTTTGCAGCCTGCCCCCATATAATTTCCAGCGTCTTTCTCCCGGACCAGATGTTTCTTCCAACATAAGGGGGAGGGGGAATCTAGGTTTATTTTAGAAGCCATTGCATTTATATAACAGTTTGTGTTTAAAACGAAGCAGACACAGTACATGTGCCAGCAAAAATTTAAGCACAATTATTTCAGAAATAGGGAAATGTTTAAAAAAATCCCCATGTTTTTAAGGAGTACAGGTCGGGCAGCAATGAGTTAATTCTTCCCCTCGATTTTGAGTAGACCTCAAAACAGGAACCATATTGTCCTGCTAATATTTTAGCCAGTCTTCCTTTTCTTCAGGAAGAGACTCAGCTGAAGGCTAATGTTACAAAATGGGGGAGAGGGAGGAGGAATCTTTTACATCTGGAAGCAATCCATAAGAGAAGGTTACTTGTTAAAAAAAAAAAAAAGCAAAAGCTGAGATTTTTACAATTTCCAGTTGTTTCATCCTTAATTATACGTTGCTAGCTGATACATTTTTCAAAAAGGCTGTTTTTAAGTTTAGCTCTTTTAACCATGGACTTCAATATATTTTGGTGTGGAAATTTTGCATTAAGCTTGACATGTTCCCCTTTGATGCTACATTTAGTTCTTATTACAACTCTAGCTGGTAAGAACATAAGAAGTCCATTGTGAGGAAAAAAACCTCTAGGCTAGCGTTTCATGTCCAAAAGGAGCTGATTAGATGTCTCTGGGAGGTATCCAAGCAGAGCATGAAACTAATGCTTACCAACTGTGACCCTGGCATCTTTATTAGATGGATGACTGCAGTTCTTGGAAATGCCATTTGGTTATATGAATTAACTTATGCTCCGATCCAGCAATTTCTTGCAGATACAGAAGCTCAAAATAGAATGTTTTGCAAGTTTACAAGAAAGCACAAACCCTGGATAAAACAGCAACCTAAAAGTAAACCATATACTTGTATGTATATGTGTATTTATTTATTGAAGATATTGCTTGATTCCCAGTAACCCGGGTAGCTTATACAGTATTCAGGAAGAGGAAGGGAACTCCAGACCTGTGTGAAGTTGAACCATGACTGAATGCACTCTCTGCAATACGGAATAGAACACCCTATACGAGACTGAGTTTAAACAGGACACATAGGCTGGGACTGTCACAATCCTCTGTTCGATGCTGTCCAGATATGCAGGCAAGGACTATCACAGCCTTTTTTAGGGGGGCATGAAGACACTAAAATGCCAACTCCTATTGGGCCGATCAAGTACATTATAAAAGTTGGACTAGACTTCAGCTGCACAGCACTGCACAGAAGGTATGCAGCTGTCATTTGGGGACAGTTGCATAGCCATTCCTTTTATACATCAGCAAGTGTTAATATTTCCCGCTTGAGTGTGCCTTGCCTCCCTCCCGCCTCCCAGCAGGAAGTCAGAGCCAATCAGCAAGCAAAGCATGACCTCCACACAACACACAGCCGTCTGCAACCTCCGCTTACCCATCAACTCCTTCGCAGCATATGTGGCAACAGCTACGGGCAGTTGTGGCCCACTAAATCAGCCATTAAACATTTCTTTCTTATTGAAATCTCAAAGCAGTTACAAGTTGTTTCATCGTTTTGCTTATTTACTGAGCCGTGCTACAGAATATTCCTCCTCTTTTCAAAGTTTAGAGTTATTTTCAATGATTTGTGTGAACTTTCTTAATCAAAAAAAGAAATTATATTACTAGAAATTAAAAAAAAACATATATCAGACTCCATCAAGCTTGTACATCTTTCTTTTGATAATCTGCATTTATAGGATATCCATGATGTACTTCAAAAAATTACATAAAATCTCTTACACACCCCCACATCTATTGTGCAATACAAATAATCACACCTACACATGCAGAATTCAAGCAGACTATTCTATTGTATTCTGCCTGTAATACAGGAATCTCCCCAGAGATTGCCTTCTCTTGGGAACAGATAGATACAGTAAGGTTTAAAAGAGCTTGGAATAGGGCAGTCCTGGACCTCTTGTGGCTGCAAAATGATTCAAGGCTAACTCCCCACTTGATTCCTCCTCCTTTTGCTTGGCTGGGCATTTTCCAACATCTATCCAGAAAAGCTTGTTGATCTCTTGCAGAAACAAAGTATGGAAACCAATCAAAAGCAAATAATCCAATACTAGTAAACTCAATAGCTAAACACAACCCTTCTAATCCTAACCCAAGCTTTGAAAGACAAAACCTTAGGCTAAAAGGTTGGGAGGAGGCCTGGTTAAATGTTTCCCAGCTTCCAAAACCAATTATATCATTACAAAGGAGGTCCAATTCATTGATCGTTCTCTTCCACTAAGACCCACAAAAGACCAAAATGTCTGTCTCTATTCCTGCTACATGCTTAGGTTGTGACAAAATCTCTCTTGCCATTTTCCACAACTCTCTCGCATTTCCCTTTGATAATCCCGCCCCCCCCCTCAATTTGGAAACGAAATCTGATCCCGCTGGTTTCCCTAGAGACTTTCCTCCTTCAGTTGAGTATTGACCTCATTGTTTCTCTGCAGTTTGGCATTGCTTCCCTCCTTTTCATACACACATCCTGTCAACCCCAGCACAAAAGAAGAGCAGAGCAGCCCTTGAGGAGAAAGATAATCAAGTCCACAGGGACAAGGAGGAGGAGGAGGAGGAAAAAGCCTGGCCAAGGAAATCTAGCGAATTCAAGGACAGACATTCCTCTTCGCTGGAAAACAAAGTTTGGGGTGGGTGCAAGCCCAAGGCCAAGTAACAGAGAAAGCCAAAATTGAAGACCAAAGGATGGATCAGCTTGGAACAATCTGGCTCCCTAAACCTAAATGTCCAGTAACCAAAGCCTATCTTTCTTCCACAAAGAAACAGGAAATGCACTTTATTTGAACTAGGACTGTTTTGATTTCAAGTTGATTAAAAGGCTCCCCAACAGTAGAAGAGCCCACCTAGGAAGGGAGAAACTGGTCACCTTCCAGATGTTGTTGGACTCCCAGTGGCTGCTGGGTGGCTGCTAGACTTGTCATTCATCCAAAGCTGGAAATGCTCCGGTTTCCCACTCTACTTTGAATGATTGGAGACCAATTCAGAGGCATGATTCAGAAAGCCAGCTCACTTTCTCCAAAGAAAGAGAAAGCTTTACTGCATCTGAGTGATCAAACAATTAACTCAGAGTGCAGCTGAGCCATATTCATAACTAGTCAATTGGATAACCGTGCTTCGCTACAGAACTATGTTGATCGAGCTTGATAAATTGACAGTTAAAGCTTGAACATTAATAAGTAGTTACGATTGACCTCTCCTCTCCCCTTCTCTCCCTCAGGCTTGCCCCACAGAAGCCTCTCCTCTTCTCTCCTCTCCCCTTCTCTCCCTCAGGCTAGCCCCATTGATCTTCTCCTATCCCCTTCTCTCCCTCAGGCTGGCCCTATTGATCCTCTCCAAACTCCCAGCCCGCAGGCCGGATGAGTCACGTGTTGACCACGCCCATGCCCAGGTGGAAGTTGGAACAGAGTTCTTTTCAGGTGGGGAGGGGGAGTAGAACATCTAACTCCTTAGCATCAGGATGTGTTAATCATAATATAGGAAATACTAATGCTCTGATGGTCATTTCAAAAAATTCCGAGTCATTGAGGCCACTTGGAACTTCATTTGTACCTCAGGTACAAATAATTCTGGGTCCTGAATCCTATAGTCTGCAATTTTTGTTTCTGGAAATCCTTTCATACTCCTGCACCATTTAGCTATGCGCTGTGGGATGAACAGCCTTCGAACAGGGCTACCTGTACATAATTCTTCAATCTTCTTCAAATTAAAGTCTAGGTATCATTTGTTTTGAGCATAAAAACCAGAAGTGACACCTAGTGAGTCAACCCTGGGTAACTAGAACACAGCCTAGCTCAACAAAGGAAGAAATGAAAGGTGCTGCTGCAGTGGTGCAGTGGTTAGAATGCAGTGCTGCAGGCTACTTAGTTTGCTGACTGCCAGCTGCCAGGAATTCAGCAGTTCAAGTCTCACCGGCTCAAGGTTGACTCAGCCTTCCATCCTTCCGAGGTGGGTAAAATGAGGACCCAGATTGTTGGGGGCAATAGGCTAACTCTGTAAACCGCTTAGAGAGAGCTGTAAAAGCACTATGAAGCAGTATATAAGTCTAAGTGCTACTGCTATCAATGCCATCAAAGTTCAGTTTGGGAAGATACAACCAGATGATTGATTGATCCACCTTTTCTTACCGGAATGTCAGCGTCTGACCACAACAATAAGTTGGAGCCTTGGAATACAGCACTCCACCTGCTTGCGAATCGTTTCGAAGGGCTATGTTCCTTCGGCTGCTCAAGCTGTAGCCCTCAATACCTGGAGTCCATTCTAAGGAAAGAAGAACCAACAGTAAATGCAGGGGCCCAATCCTAGTTTGGACAAACTATGAAACGTAACGTAGTATTCTGATCTGTCCCCGTCCACACACACACACAAACACAGCCAGCCGAAGGTTAAGGAAACACTTTGGCACACACCCAGGTCTTTATCTCCAACTTGGCAGCGATTTACACACCGTCTGCCAAGTGCATTTATTTCCACAAAACAGAAAGATAAGATACTTAGCGTACAAAAGTCCAATCAGAATAATATTCCTCTCAGCAGTTTCCGGACGAGGCTTTAGTGACTATCCAAGGTTTACTTTTGTTCGTCACAAGGATCACTGGCCACCACCCTCTATTATATAGTCTCTGGGGTGTGGTCCAGTGACTCAGTTCTAATCCCTAGCACGCCTCCTGAGCCGCTGCAATCGTTTATCACGCCTTCGGAGGCGTGCGTCCAGGAATGATGTCTCTCCCTCGCTCTCATCCGAGCCACCTGTCTCCCTGCTAATCTCCTCTCCCTCGGCCGGCACCTGAGACAGTGCCAGAGGGGAGGGGCCTGGAGAGGGAGGCCTGGCTGACTCCTCTTCCTCATGCTCAGAGCTTTCTTCCTCCGATGGGACAGGCTCAGAGGGCGGGGCCACAACATATTCTTAGTTCGCTAGCACCACAGGCCCAGCCTTTTCAGAAAATATTTTGTGCTTTGCTTCAGTTTTTAGTTATAGTTTTGTACACATTCCAAGATAGGAAAGCGCACAAAGAAGAATGTACAAGTAGTCCTTGACTTACAACCATTCATTTAGTGACTACTCAGAGTTAGAAGGGCCCTGAAAAAAGTGACTTATAACCATTTTTCACACTATGACTTTTGCAGCATCCCTGTTGTTATGTGATTTACATTCAGATGATTGACAACTGATTCACATTTATGAGGGTTGCAGTTTCCCAGAGTCATGTGTGATCTCTTTTTGTAACTTTCTGACAAGCAGGTCAATGGGGGAAGTCAATGGGGGAAGGCAGATTCACTTAACAACCGTGTTACTAATTGAAGAACTGCAGTGATTCACTTCACAAACGAGGTGAGAAAAGTCGTAATATGGAGCAAACTAGCTTAACAAATTTCTCACTTAACAACATACATTTTGGCCTCAATTGCAATAGTTGAGGACTACTGTACACAGTAGTCCTTGACTTACAACTATTCGTTTAGTGACCAAAGTTACAAGGGCACTGAAAAATGTGACTTATGACCATTTTTCACACTTATGAGCATTGCAGCATCCCCATGGTCACATGATCAAAATTCGGACACTTGACAGCAGGCATGTATTTATGACGGTTTCATTATCCCGGGGTCATGTGATCATCACCTTCCCAGCCAGCTTCCAACAAGCAAAGTCAATGGGGCAAGCCAGATTTGTTTAATGACTGGATGGTTCACTTAACAACTGCAGATATTCACTTAACAGCTGTGGCAAGAAAGGTCGTAAAATGGGGCATATTAACTACCTTGCATAGCAATTGAAATTTTGGCCTCAACTGTGGTCATAAGTTTGAGGACTAACTGTAATTCACAAACAGTCTGATCCCATACAAACCTACCGCATACAAGACAAGCCTGTTAGGATCAACACACTTAAGTTTTCAAAGGAGAACTTAGGGTTACAATGTTGCTTAAAAACCAGTTTAATTGATTTCATGTGATCTGCATTTGAAAATGCAGCAATATTCCATACAGTTAAATGTCTGTGTAATAAACGGCCTTAGCATCAAACAAGGGTACCTGAATATGAAAAGTTATCATACAGAGCAAACTATATGATAGCAATAGGCTAGATTTACAGGTCAGGGAAAGAAGATGAAGCAAGACCAAAATATTTTTTTATTGCAGAGTAAAATGACGAAATGCATACCATGAGGCACCAATGTGGAACACCCGGTCTGAGAAACACTCCACGGGCTCCATTCCTGACGGCCGTCTCCCCGCGCACAAACCTTGAACTGATAATCGACGTTGGGATCGATGTGCAACACCGTGAATTCTGTGTCAGAACCAACGTACACATCTTCAAAATGGCAAGTGGTACTCTTGCGATACTGAAGTCTGTAGTCTTGTGGGATGAAGTCCTCATCAACCTAAGCAAAGATAAATTACATTATTGCATATCTTAAAGGGGACGCGGTGGCTCACTGGCATAGACACTGAGCTTGTTGATTAAAAGGTCGGCAGTTCAGCGGTTCGAATCCCTAGTGCCGCGTAACAGGGTGAGCTCCCGTTACTTGTCCCAGCTTCTGCCAACCTAACAGTTCGAAAGCACGTAAAAAAGGCAAGTATAAAAATAGGGACCACCTTTGGTGGGAAGGTAACAGTGTTCTGTGTGCCTTTGGCATTTAGTCATGCCGGCCACATGACCACGGAGACGTCTTTGGACAGCGCTGGCTCTTCGGCTTTGAAACAGAGATGAGCACCCCCCCTAGAGTCGGGAACGACTAGCACATATGTGTGAGGGGAACCTTTACTTTTACCTTATATCTTAAAACTCTTCCTTCTTTAAACATTTGTTTTAACTAACATGTTCTCTGAAAGGCGAAGGCTTGAAGCTCCTCGGTGTTTTGGGATTAGAAGCACAATGGGCATTATCAGGAAGTGTAATGGACACAATTGCAGAATTACTATTGTAGGGTGAGTGGTTAGACACAAAATATATTTCTCAGTCTCATGCCAGCCAGATAGGCCGGAATCCTGAGAATTCCAGTCCCATCGTATCAGGAAAAGTGATATTTATTTATTTATTAGTCCAATTTATATGCCGCCCTTCTCCGTAGACTCAGGGCAGTTTACAATGCATTATAGCAATAGCCTGCATACTTTTTTGTATATATCTGCTTATTAGGGCTTTCTCCCCCCCCCCCCCCACAAGCAGTGTTGTTCTATACAAAGTTAGCTTATTGCCCCCACAATCCGGGATATAAATGTTAAGAGGCAGGAACAATCACATGGAATCTATTTCACAATGTGCCAGTTATCAGACAGCTATTAAATTAGTTACAATTTAAAAAGAATGCTATCTCAAATAGAAATCAATGACTCACATAATAACCACTATTTGTTGTATTAACCACTATCCACATGCTATTCTCAAGGAAGAGATTTTCATGTGATGGGGAATATCCCAAATCTCTACCACATATAGTTAGTCCTCAATTTACAACAGTTCATTTAGTGACAGTTCGAGGTTACAACGGCGCTGAAAAAAGTGACTTATGATCATTTGCACACTTACAATTGTTGCACCAGCCACCACTGTCATGCGATCAAAATTCAAATGCTTGGCAACTGGTTCATATTTATGATGGTTGCAGTGTCCCGGGGTCATGTGATCACATTCTGACAAGCAAAGTCTATGGGGAAGCCAGATTCACTTAACAACCATGTTGCTGATTTAACAACTGCAGTGATTCACTTAAAATACCTGTGGCAAGAAAGGTGGTAAAATGGGGCAAAACTCACTGTCTCACTTAGCAACAGAAATTTTGGGCTGAAATGTGGTCGTAAGTAAAGGACTACCTGTAATGTGTTTCTGCCCATCGCAAAATCACCACTAGGCTGTTGGGTTAAAGGCACAACATAAAAGAAAAAGCCTAGGTGGTATCTGATCCTGAAAAGGCTGTTAACTCACTTTGCACCATCGTACTAAGATGCCTCCAGGCTTCTCGATCAGTTCTTCTATTTGTATCGGAGGTCGAGATGCTACTGTTCCATGGCTGAAGATGTAGCTTTTCATTATTGTAAAAAAGGAGTCATCCCATTGAGCAGATAAGCTAGCCACATCAACCAGCGATGGCACTTCAGGTAAACTAAAGAGAGAAAACATAATCAATATACATAGCAGGTAAGGAACTGTTTTCATTCAGAATCTTTAGCGATGTTTGAAACTCTTGATTTGATATTTTTAAGAAAAATGTCTTCGATTAATTTCTCTAGCCACTCCAATCTATATCTTATGTTCTTTATTTTTATCATAAAAAAAAGCACATCAAAACAGGTATAAAATGTTAGGCTACAGATTTCTATTCACCAACCCTACCTCCGTAAATTTGAAGGCAGGGTTCTAGCATCACCTCCTCTGTACCCATGGTGTTTCCCAAATAGAAAAATATAAATTTGAAAGGTGGTGAAGATGGAATGAAAGAAATTCTGGATTGATTAAGTTTCTCGCCAAGGAAATATTCAGAAAATTCATTGGGCTGGTTTAATTAATGTCTATCCCACTGTGAAGACAATTTTCTCCCTTAAAATAATAATTTTGAAATTCTCAAATTTACACAGGTAGTCCTTCATTTACAATCGCTGACTTAATGAACATTTGAAGTTACAACACACACACCCCCACACACACGCACACAAAAGCTTATAGTTACACTAGGCACACAACCCCATGGTCATGTGATAGCATTTGGAGTGCTTGGAAATGAGTTCATATTTACAGCCATTTGCACCATCCTGTGACTGCAATTTGCAATTGTTTTGCAGGCAAAACAAATGCCCATTGAGGATAAATTCCCTTAACAAACACCACAAAAAATGTAAATAAAACCCCAAACAGGTCTGGTTAGGTGATGCCTCAATTTATGACCATAATTCCAGGCTCAATTATAGTCATAAGTCAAGGACTACTTGACTGTACATTCTTTTCAGCTTTTCTGAGATTTTTTTTTTTTTTTTTTTGAGTGCTCAGATTTCCCCTTGGGATAGTTCTACACGTGGTTTGTTTGCTTGTTTGTTAGATTTATAATAATCTCACTATCCAAAGCAACTCTGGTTGAAGATTAGTTTACTTGGTTACCCTTTTCTTTTTTTTTAAATAAAAGTTTTTATTTTTTATTTTTTAAACAAACATACAGACAAACAATACATCCTTAATCATTCAGTGTTTCATCTGAGTGCATATTTTGTGTCTTCTACTCCCTCCTCCATCATTTTCATATCATATTTCTATCATACCTTTATATTTGTAACTTGGTTACCCTTTTCAAAGGAAAGCTGCTCAATGTAAGTCAATCGCCTTTTGAACAGTTGTCAAATAATGCTATCTGAAGGTTAGTTTAGTTTAGTTTAGTTTAGTTTATTTGATTTGTATACCGCCCTACTCCCGAAGGACTCAGGGTGGTGAACAGCCAACAATAAAATACATAAATACACAAAATTTAAAAACCCCATAAAATCAAATTAAATTATTTGGCCCAGACAAATTAAAATACCCCAATAATTTAAAAACAGATTAAAATTTACATATTTAAAAAGGGAAGAGATTAGGCCAAGCCCGCTTGATGGAATAAAAAGGTCTTCACAGCACGGCGGAAGGAGCGTAGATCCGGGATCCTCCGTATCTCCGGGGGGAGCTCATTCCAGATGGTAGGTGCCCCCACAGAGAAGGCTCTCCCCCTAGGGGCCGCCAGTCGATACTGTTTGGCTGACGGCACCCGGAGGAGTCCCTCTCTATGAGAGCGTACTGGCCGGTGGGAGGCTATTGGTGGTAGTAGGCGGTCCCGTAAATAACCAGGCCCTAAGCCATGGAGCGCTTTAAAGGTGGTAACCAAAACCTTGAAGCGCACCTGGAAGACCACCGGGAGCCAGTGCAGCTCGCGCAGGAGAGGTGTTACATGGGAGCGCCATGTCGCTCCCATTACCACCCGCGCGGCCGCACTCTGCGCCAGTTGGAGCCTCCGGGTGCTCCTCAAGGGGAGCCCCATGTAGAGAGCATTACAATAGTCCAGGCGGGAGGTGACGAGGGCATGAGTGACCGTGCGTAACGAGTCCCGATCCAGAAAGTGACGCAACTGGCGAATCAGGCGGACCTGGTAAAAAATCCTCCCGGTCATGGCCGTCAAGTGCTCTTCTAAAGACAGCCGTGAATCCAGGAGGACGCCCAAGTTGCGAGCCCTCTCCGTGGGGGCCAATGATTCTCCCCCAATAGTCAGTGATGGCGTCAACTGACTATATCGGGATGTTGGAAACCACAGCCACTCGGTCTTGGATGGGTTGAGCCTGAGCCCATCCAGATCCGTACGGCCTCCAGGCACCGGGACATCACTTCAAGGGCATCGTTGGTTAGACGTTGCTATTATAAGCATCCTGCTATCTGAATAGATCAAGTAGTCTAAACTGTACCTTAGAAACGGCAATTCTGTGTCATTCACATAAACTACCCTAATTGGAAAAAGGGCCTCTACAACCCAAGGATACTTCTGTCAGCCACCGACTCTGAAAATCCAGCCCCAATTTGTGGCTGTTACCTGTCCAGCTGAATATGCAAAGCCTTTTTTGTAAAACTGCACAGTTTGTCACTGTTGTCCCTTGTAATTCCACAAATGGCATTTTCACCTGTAATGCAATAGCAAGAGATTATTACTAAGAATGGAGTCACAGCCAAGGACAACTGTTCCACAGGTTTCTGTGGCATTCACCTCTTCTTTGCAGACATTCATCCAATGTGTATATTTATGGCCATCTTAACAGTACGTGAGGTCCAAATGCAATGGATCATTAAATTCTGACCACAGTGGAGAAATTTCCTGACAGATCAACTAGTGCAGGTGTGTCAAACTCGATTTCATTGAGGGCCGCATCAGGGTTGTGTTTGACCTCAGGCAACTGGGGGGGTATGGTCAGCTTGACATCACTTGTGTCGGGGGGTTTCTGTGGTGGCCTGAACATTCTGCCAGGGAAAACGGGCTTCCAATCTCCAATCTCCATTTTCGGCTGGGACGGCCTCCTGCAACCCTCTGCCAGCAAAAATGGAGCTCCTCTTTCGCTGACAGAGGTACTGTGGGCAGGTCCTTTGCTGTTTCTAGGGCAGCCGCGCGGGCCAGATCTAAGCACCCCGCGGGTTGGATCCGGCCCACGGGCCTTGAGTTTGACACCCCTGAACTAGTGGAACACCTTGCCTTTAGAAGTGGGTGCACTGGAGGCTTTTAAGAAGCCGCTGGACAGCCATTTGTCCAGAATGGTGTAGGGCAGTGGTTATGTTTTAGATTTCGTAATGGTTTAATTGCTGCAAATCAGCTGAAGCATTCAGACAAAAAGAGAGGTGAGGCATAAGTCAATAAACAAACACAATGGGTAAAATATGTTTTCTAATAGAAAATAATATATGAAATTCAAGGTTGAACTATGGAATCCTTGGAACTGTGGAGTCCTGAGAGCACCAAAGACTTCACAAAATCAGTCTTTTTTGCCAAATGATAACTTCCAGTGTTTATTTGGTCATCTAGGACCAGAGAGCAACTGCTAAGCTTCACTGAGTTCATTCTTAGACAAGGAGATTCTACTTACAGAAAGAAGCAAATGTTTAGCAGGTTTGATATTGTAGTTCTAATTCTAAATATCATCAAGCAAATCATTTCACCACTACCAAATTGCAAGACTGAAGGAAAAGCAACATGCTGGTTCTCATCTCTGCAATAGCATGGCTATGCAAGATATGTGACACAATCTCCTTACGCTCAGTATTCCCCACCCTTCATCCCTGAGGTTGCATGAAGGAAGAAATGAACAAGAAAATGCTGACTAGGATGACATCACAACTTGCTTAATTAAGTATTATTATGGTCTTGCAGAAGGCGGCCCAGGAGCAGCTATGACAAGCAGTTGCAAGGCTGCTAACAGCTCTGAGTTACATATTCCATCCTTGTCCCAGTTCTATCAATTGAAGTTCTTGCAATCTTATTCAACAGCCAAAACAATTCAACAGACATCTTTAATTTGTTTTTTGGATTAAGATATCCCAGCTCCGAATTCTAAGTATATTGATAGCTGTGATAATTTCCTGCACATCTAGCAAATTGTTCTGAAACTTATCTCACTGAATTAAAATGAACATATTGGTAGAAGAGTAGGGTTCACCCATTATGTGAAGCCATAATAGCAATAGCATCTAGACTTATATATTGCTTCGTAGTGCTTTACAGCACTCTCTGAGCAGTTTACAATGTCAGCATATTGCCCCCAACAATCTGGGTCCTCATTTTACTGACCTTGGAAGGATGAAAGGCTCAATCAACCTTGAGCTCCATCAGGATTGAACTCCTGTCTGTGGGCAGAGTTAGCTTGCAATACTGCATTCTAACCACTGCACCAACACAGTTCAATAACATGCTTTATTGAGATTTTATTTATGTAAACCAAGATACTATGGCCTGTAAAACCTCTTGATGTGTATACATATTCTCAGACATTACATTTTTACAACAAACCACAATATGTAGACCAGCCAATGTGTATATAGATGGGAAAAGAAAAGACAGGGAGATGCATCAAGAGCTCCTTTCTCTTGATCAACAATAGACATATCATCTGCAATTTATTTCTGTTTAATGGTTCACAAATGAGCTTTATATGCATGTTCATTCTATGCATAATTATCATTTGTTTGATTTATGCCCTGCTTTTCCTAAGAAGCTCAAACTGGCAAACACAGTATTCTATGCTTGATTCTTTTTCCCCCCACAACAATAATGAGGAAGGATCAGTTAAATTATACCAGCTGGACCAATTTTACCAAGCAAGCTTTTACCCCTCAAGGGTGGACCTGAACCTGGGTCTTCTCAGCCCTGTCTAATATCTTATTTGTTTAAAGTATAAGCTATCTTGTTGTCCAAGCAAGTCTTAACCATACCTCTTCACATGTAGAAGCATTATGCAGAAAGGATTAATTAAGACCTCTAGATACACACTAAATAACTTTGGCAGATAGGTGGAACTATTAAATACAATAGTTCCAGTGACCGTTAGGTTGATAGAAATCCTCTATGGTCCCCCCCAAAAAATGTTTTAAAAGCAGATTCTCCTACCTTCCTGGACAAGTTCATTGGCTGTCCCAACTCCTTGTTCTATGAGCTTCTGGCACTCATCCAAGGGCTTGATACTTTCCTGTTCTATGTTGTCTACTTCCTGGAGCAAGGAGGCCAATCTTTCATCCAGCAACTTCTTCAAGGTCCCTTTTAAGTCACTGAAATGTTGTTCCAGCACTTCCCGGGTTTGTGCAGCACTGTTTTTGATCTGAAGGGAAACAAAGAAATCTGTAAGGCCTTGAAGGAGAATGGCTCAAAGAAGACTCTTACCACACTGAATTTGCTAGCAAGAAGGTTGCTCAGCCTGCTTGGTCTTATCAATCACTGCATGTCAGGTGAATTAAAACATATCTTGGACTGAATGAGTTTGCTTCACCAAACCATAGCCCCATAAAGTAACTGAAGAAAATCAGATTCTTCCAAAAATTCAGCAACCCCACAAAAGTCTGAATTCTTTTTGCGGTTTCCTCCAACTGCCTCCTTGTTTATCACATAAAAATATTCACGATGATAGCAGTAAACTTTTCACAGGAAATCTCTAACAGCCTTGCTGTAAGCCACCATTTTCAAGTAATAAAGGTCAGATTCACATTTTAAGCTAGAGCCAAATGAACCACTTTTGGGGTTTGCATGATGTATAAATTCAGCCATAAAATTAAGGTCCTTTGAATCTATGCAACTTGCTCTAGCTAAAATATATTTAGGACTGCCAAGTATGCAAAATTTTAATCTGCATAGTTTTAATATTTTAGTAACTTTTTAACTTTTTATATCTGTAAATCACCCAGAGTTGCCTTATAGGGGAGATGGGCAGCATAAAAAATTAATAAATAAAATCTCTCAAATTTGAAACAGAATAAACACAAAGGAAGAAATAGTTGGGCACGATACATTCTCATCCATTCCACAAAGGACCAATTCCACCCCCAAAATTTTCTCTGCTAGCGTCACACGTCGTGTCAGGCCATGGTTTACTGAAACAAGCCACAGAACTTATACAATCTAGGTCTGGAATTAGGCAATTTTAGCATTCCAGATGTTGTTGAATTGCAACTCCCAACATCCCTCACTACTGGCTAGGGTTGTTGTAAGATGCAGTTTAACAACTTCTGCAGTGCCATGCTTTAAGCCAGAAGTCTCCAAACATGGCAATTTCAAGACTTAGGAACTTCAACTCCCAGAGTTCCCCAGCCAGCAAGTTTTAAAATTGCCAAGTTTGGAGATCTCCGCTTTAAGCTATAAATCATGGTTTATAAATCATGACAGTTGTTACTTGCATCGCAAAACCCCTTCCAAATAAATCACATTTTAGCTTGGCATGATGCCCGATTCCAGATGTTTCTTGTCTCAATATTAACTCTAGAAGAAAACAGATAATGCAGATTAAGAAACAGCAGGAAATGAATTCCAAGAATACTTTAATTTCAAAGCAGGTATTTTGAAGCAATTTTTCACTGTTGTTTGGAAAACATCTTCCAGAAAGAATACTCTGGAGTCAGTTCCAGGTTCCCACATGCTCCTTTATATCCAGTCTAGCAAGGCCATGTTCTCATGACATATAAACCACAGGAACGAGTTATTATGCATATCTCATTGACCAGAGTTAGCCTTGAACTCAGTACAGCTGCAATTTCAAATGAAATCAGAACTGAAACCTCCAAGAAAGCAATGCTTCAAAGTCCAACTTCTGCAAATCCAAAAAAGGAGTCATTTTAAAAGTCATGTTAACCTCCAAGTCTAATTAATGGACCACACGTGGCTGGGAAAGGGGAGGGAAAGATGGTGGCCCATGTATCGGCCTTCACTCTTTTCTGTGGTGTAGCATCTGATGCCAAAACAATCTAAAAGTAAAGAAAAAGAGTTCATAGTGTGAGACTAGGCTGAAGCTGCCATGTGCAGACATATAAGCAGAGTGTACGCCAGGAATCAAGAAGTAGGTAAGAAGCAGATACGAAGGAACAAATCCATTAAGGAAACAAAGGAAAAATATCACCTGAACCAGACAAAAGAAATTGGGCCTCAGCATGATGGGAAACCCCCTCCCCAAATCCTATCAACAGCTACCAGACTTGAAAATCAAGGCAAGTGGAGCTGCCGATCTTGAAAATCAACAATGTGAGAATTTGGGGGGATAAAAGGCATCCTGAAGCCAGCTCACTCTTTGAGTCATCTTTGGATCCCAGCTTGGTGGCTTCCATCCTTCTGGCTAATACCTAGTTGAGAAGGACACAGGTAAGTGCGTATGTGTGCATCTCAGAAAGAGGAAATGTACATTGCAACCAGTACAGTTTTGATGTTATTTTAAATTCACTAGATTTCCTTATATTCCGAAAAAATGGGTTGTGCCTCAGGGTTAGGTTGAAAGTGATTTGAGTGTGGCTGCTGACCCTGTGAATGTGCGAGTGAGTGACCATAAACCAAAACTAGGAGTACGTGTAACAATAACACGTGTATCTGAAAATGAGTCAGTTTTAATTCCTTTTTTTTCAGCCATTTATCTATGGACCTGATATAACTTAATGCGAAAAGGCCTTAATGCAGAAAGAATACAGATTAAGCTGCTTTTCTTACCATTTGGAACTTCAGCAGCATGCTGTGTTGCTATCACAAAATGCCTGCAAGGATGAATGATTGCAACTGCAAAGTATTGTCCCCATTGACTGTTCTGGATACATTAACTAGAATGTTCTACATCTACGGCATCTCAATTTATAGTTGTCATTTTATCTGAGCAGTCATTCATCATTGCCCCCAAACTCAAAGAATGCCTAGAGTAGGAGTGTCCAACCTTGGCAACTTTAAAACTTGTGGACTTCAACTCCCAGAATTCTCCAGCCAGTTCTCCTATTGTGGCTGGGAAATTCTGGGATTTGAAGTCCATAGGTCTTAAAGTAGCCAAGGTTGGGGACACCCCTGGCCTAAGAGGATCTATGTGGGGCTCTGGATCAAAGAAAAAATAAGCATACTGGAGTGTACTTAAGTGTCCTGCAAACTGAAAAGTTTTCATGTATCTATTTTTTTTTAGTTGAAAGAACCTAAAACAAAATCAGAGAGTGTACAGAAGTGCAAAGGCAGGATGTGTCGGCACCATAAGGTTTAGTCCAATTTTTAAAATTCTGTTTAGGAAGGAAATAGTCATGAACAGTTACAAGGAGGAAAAGGCTTATCGTAATGAAAAGCTGAGCAAAACCAGCCAGAAGTAGCTTCTTGATCTCTTTAAGTACTAACAAACAACCCAGGATACATTACATTGGTCAGGTTATGCAAAACTGACTTCCTCTTTATGTCACACTTGTAGGATTTTGTAGTCCTTCTTCAGTTAGTTTTATTATTTCAAGTCTCCATGACTCAAAGAAGGAAGTATATGCCTCTGTACGTTTAAAAAAAAACCAAACCCACAGAAGTGGCAGGAAAGATGAAATAATTATGTTCTCATTTTTTTTTAAAAAAAAGTTATTTTAAGTCTTGAACGTGAGTCTATGAAATGGATGCTGGAAAGGGTGGACATTAGAACCTTGGAGGACTCACTGGTGACTTAGATCTGGATTACATAAATGTGATTCTTCATATTGTGGTGGATAAATAGAGCATCACATAACAAAAGCTATAGTGGTATGGCAATGCATGACAACAGCATTCTGTAGGAGGAGGAGGGAAAAGTACAGCTAGGTTTCCTTTCTCTCAAACTGCTATCAATCCCTGTCCCATTGCTGCAAAACATCAGCAGAAGACAGTAGGAGCAAGTTGTGATTGGAGCAAGTATGAGGATGCAGGAATTACCGTATTTTTCAGACTATAAGATGCACTTTTTTGTCTCCCAAAAGGGGGTGAAAATGTCTTTGCATCTTATAGGCCAAATATTGCTGAAGCCCTGCCCACCCACTAGCCATTTTTTTGCCTCTGCATGCCCCATTTTCAGGCCTTTTTTTTTTTTTTTGGCCTTTTTCAGGCCTTTTTCGGACCATTTTTCAGGCTTTTTCAGCCCATTTTCTAGGCTTGTTTGGCCCTTTTTTTGGCTTTTTTTTTTTTTGCCCGTTTTCAAGGCTTTTTTTAGCCCAATTTCAAGGTTTCTTTAGGCCCGTTTTTTTTGGGCAATTTTTTCAGAAAAAATGGCCTGAAAAAAGCCTCAAAAATGGACTATAAAAAGCCTCAAAAACAGGCCAAAAAAACCCTAGAAAATGGGCTGAAAAAAGCCTTGAAAACAGGCCAAAAAAAGCCTAGAAAATGGGCCGAAAAAAGCCTTGAAAACAGGCCAAAAAAAGCCTAGAAAATGGGTGTGAGGGAGTTTTGAATCTTGTAGTAAGTTAGCGTATTTTAGCTTATGTTTGTTAAATGTTATACCCTGTTTTTGCTCTGGAAAGTCGGGGTGGGGTGAGGAGGGGGGGGTTGAAGGTTGTGTGGGGATAAAATTGTTGTATAATTTTTAATAAAATAAAAAGATAGATAAATGTATTAATAGAGAAGTAAGAAATATGGGGGAAATGTCATAATAAATGAAATGATAATATTAAGATATGATAAATATTGGAGGAGTAAGAAGAAGACACAAAAGATGTATTCAGATGATACACTGAATGATTGATTATGTATTGTTTGTTTGTTTGTTTATAAAATAAAAAAACTTTTTAAATAAATAAAAAAAAGCCTAGAAAATGGGCAGAAAAAAGGCTGGAAAAGGCCCAAAAATGGGGCGCGCAGAGACCAAAGATTTTTTTTTTGTTGATTTCCTCTTCTAAATTTAGGTATGTCTTATAGTCTGAAAAATATGGTACTTGCAATGACCTAGACTACAATGCAGTGATAGGGCTAAAGTTGATGGAGGAAGAACAACCAAAGTTATGCTAGTAACCGATTAGGATCTTATTGATCTACTCAACATTATCATCTGAAAATACATGTATGTATTCAGGTACATATTCTTCATAGGGGGCATGGTGGCCTGTAGGTTAAGACACTGGTCTTGTCGACCAGAAGGTTGGCAGTTCGAGACCTGAGGGCCGTGCAACAGGGTGAACTGCCGTTACTTGCCGCTACTCTTGCCAACCTAGCAGTTCGAAAGCATGCAAGTGTAAGTAGATGAATAGATACCACTTCAGTGGGAAGGTAACAGCATCCCATGTGCCTCGGCATGTAGTCATGTCAGCCACATGACCACGGAAGCATTTTTGGACAATGTCGTTTCCCTTGGCTAGGAAACAAAAGTGAGTA